CATCTCTGGAATAACTGGGTTCAGCAAATGTAAAGGTCACCCTGTGTGTATTATACTTTGCAATTTCCACTTACACTGCTTCTTCAGACAGAAGCCTCTTGGGTATCAATGGGCCCTGTGTGTACAAAGTGATGTGCTAGGGGAGGGCGCCTCTGCTGGTGGAGAGATTCCAAACTAGCTATCATGGCAGTCATATTCTTTTGAAATTTCAAATTAACATCGAAGGGATATAATTTTTATGTGTGTGTTTATTAAATTTTATTTAAAAGGTTGAGAAACTGAGGTAGAGAATAAGAAATTACCAGGAAAATGATTTCCTTTCTTTACAAACCAGAGATTTAAGCTCTTAGAATCTATGATTGTGATGATATAGGACAATATTTCCAATGACAGCAGTTGCCATTTAGTGATAGTTTGGTATGTGGCAGGTACTGTATTAAGCATTGAACACACAATAGTTTATTTAAGACTCACATACTCACATGGTAGTAAAAGGAATTGTCTCTATTTTACAGATAGGAAAACTGTGGCTCAGAAAAGTTAAGGGCCCTGGCCAGCGTGGGTCTATGGTTAGAGCATCAGCCCACACACCAAAGGGTTGAGGGTTCAATTCCCAGTAAAGGGCACATACCTTTGTTGCAGATTCTATCCTCAGCCTTGGTCAGACATGTGCGGGAGTCAACCAATCAATGTGTCTCTCTCACATTGATGTTTTTATTTTCTCTCTCTCTCTCTCTCTCTCTCTCTCTCTCTCTCTCTCTCTCTCTCTCATCCCTCCCTCCCTTTTGCTCTAAAAATTCAATGGGAAAAATATCCTCAGGTGAGGATTAACCAAAAAGAAAAAGAAAAGTTAAGGAACTTGCTCAAACAAAAACTATCATGTGCTTCTTGGGAACTTCCAATAACATATTCAGTAATCCCATATACTTTGATTAATGCCTTTTGATAAGTTGATTTTTTTAAAATCTCAAATATTGAATCTACTAAAAGAGGAATTCAATGTAATATTTCCATAAGTTAACACACTACTTCATGCTGATCTTAAGAGTCCAAAGACAATTTACATTCAATGCTGTGGGGACTGACCTCCTTCCATAGATATTAAGTAGGGAGGTGTGATACACTACACTGTGTCTACAGGGTTGAAACTTGGCTAGCACAGCCTGCTGATGTCCTTTGCAGAGTAGTTAAAAGGCAATTCATAGTCTATTTGAAAAATCTGAAAAGCAGAGAGATAAAAACAACACAGTGATATAAGCTTAATGCAAAATTGATAATGATGACCACAGAGCTGGAGTAGCAGCTGTGACGAGTGTGGACTTTGAGTATAGTTCCGCTCAGTTACCCTGTGCATGTTTATTTCCAAAGATAATTCTTAATTAGTTTTGGTGACAGAATGCTACAAGAGTACGGAAAACAAATCCGCAGAAAGGTCTAAAACCCAACTTTAAGGAAGATTTTAAATTTCATCACTAACAAGCCAGACATGTTTACAAAGGTCTGTACCAGCAGACTTTCTGGAAATGCTTGTTATTTAGCATCTGATAAAGGTGCTAATGTGCACTTAAATGTTTTCAAGTCAAGGTAACAAGCCACAGCAGAAATGCACCTAATAATATGTACCTGAAATAACTAAGACTTTTTCATAATACTTTCGGTCAACTATATATTTCTACTCACCTCTAGCAAACGGAAAATTGGAACCAGCACATTGCACGGCTGTTTGTTGATTATTCATGCTATTTGAATTCTGACCCCAAACATGTTCTTCAGTGAACGATAAAAAACACACCAAAAACACAAAAAGTCTTCCTCCAGAAATAGATTACACACTGGCCTCTCCTGGTCCCGTGGAACTGAAGTGACAAGCACCAGGGAAAAAAGCAGCGCCTCTGCCAATACCAGGAAATAGCCCCATTCTCTCTAGGAGGGCAGGGCCGGCATGAATAATCGCTACCTCACTTTTGCAGCACAAACAAGAAATGAAATTGCTCCTTTCCCGACTAATCACAAAGCGAATGCTTTGTGCTCCTGGAGCAACTCCCCAGATGATTTTGAATACATTTCTGTATATACATGTCACAGCACGCATCCTAACACTGTCAAACTGTGATGGCGGTGGTTACAACGCCTCTTCCATCCAGGAGGGCTTCTCTCATTCGCTCAGGCTGGGTTAGATGCTCTTCAACATTTTTCGCCTACTGAGACCTGACGGATGAGCAGCTAGTTGCTGGCTGGACAGAGAGGGAGAACAAATACCAGCTTGGCTGCACTGTGGTGTAATTTCCTCTCCATTCACCTGGCTGCTCATTTGTCAACATGAGGAGTAATAATACCTCACTGTCATGCTTATTGTAAAGATTAGAAATAGTGCAGGGAACTTGGTATGGGGGCTTCATCATTGGTAGTGGCTGTTAATGAAAATTACGTTCATTTTGTGAGTTTGGCTTTAACAGTAGTCTTCTGTATCTAGGCAACGTTCCAGGATATTAGCATCATTTTTCATTCTCTATTCAAGCACCACTTTGTTGAGTTATGAAACACTACTCATAAACTTCTAGCCTATCAGCCTGAAAATTAAAATCTATGTCTGTGTTATAATAGAGGCATTTTCTCCATTTGAAGACTACTGGTCCTCTAATAGGTCATTCTAGGACTAAAATTCTGATATTTTATGATGAAGAGGGCTATTTCTACCCTTTCCTATGTTCTACTTGGTTGTTAGGTACAGTGTTTTCTATTGCCCCGTATTACTTATGTTCTGAAATTACTATAATTATGCATTGTAATTGCAAAGGCTGAGCTAAAACATCAAGTACTAGTCTTACGAGTTCTTTTTAAAAATCTACAGTGCATCTTCCGTCTGAGAATTCAAAATAGCTGGCTGATTTATCAGCAAGGCTGCTGGCTACAAACATGATGATGCTACGGAGTTCTGATCTAGCAGTTAGTTCTCTGTGCCAAAGGCTCTCCACCGGTTGCCATGGCCCAGGGATCACTGACAGGCTGCTACTGTAGACCACCTGAGCACCCATAAAACAAAATAATACAGAGCCAAATGTAACTTCCATATTGTTCAAGTTCCCAATAAACAGATGATGAAGGCAGGGTACAGAGTCAGCTTGCCAAGATGGAGTAAATAGCAATAAAGACCTTTTCAATTAAGACATCGCATGATCTCTTGGAAGCAGGAACAGCTACTCGGGGACAGCACTCAAGATGTCACGACTGAAATTAAGGCCCCAGGAATGGGCTGTTTCCACGATTTTCTTTCTCTCTAGGACTTAAGGGTTCAATGCCTCAGTCCCAACTCTTTAATACCCAGGGATAACCTTTGCTCCAAGGTCCATGGGAAAGGTAGATTCAGTTGGAGTCCTTGCTCCCCTCAATTCAGTCACCTGGATATTCCTTGAAGTGGCCCAGCCCTGCAGAAAGATCTGATGAATTATAGGGACTTGAGAGTGTATATGCTACCATGGTTACTGTCCTTCTTCACAAGTGTGATGTCACTTCCTTTTGCCTTGTAGTCTGGGGGCAAGGAACTATAGGAATGATAACCAAATGTGGGCTGGGGGTGGGGGAGGAGTGGGGGAGGTTGTCTCATCTTTCCACTGTCAGTAGTGAAGGTTCTAGTCATAGCCACTTACTGACAGCAGGACCTTGGGAAATTTTAAGTAAAAGAGGGATTTGGATTACATTGTCCTAAGGTCCCTTCTAATTTAAAAAATTCTGTGGTCCCTTAATTTTACTTGGTAGGGAAAGCGTTCCACTCTTCCAGGTTAAACAGGCAAACATATACACAATACCTAACATATAAGATTTTATTATTTACGCTGTGCATCTTTGAATGGCTGACCCAAAGCAATGGAAGTTAGAGCACAACCGTGTTAGGCTTTGAGCCACCTTCATCATTAGGAGCAGGGCTGTGAACCAGAAGTATGCAATTGCAAGAAAATGTTCACTCAGCTCCTAATGAGACATGAGGCATTAGCCTTTATTCTTTTTTCAGAGCAATTAAGATAAAATGAGGGAAAGAGATTAAAAATGTAGGTTTCCTTGGAGCAGAAACTCTTATGGGGATTGTTCATTGGTTAAAGCCCTGTGGGAAGGAAAGGACAATGTGAAGGAAAGGGTGACAGAAATGAATAAGCTGTGACTTCAGAACAATGGTCTTTTACTCCCTGGTCCCCAACCCCCTACTTGATCTCAAAGAAAATGCTTGGGAAAGGACACTAACTCCCTCAGGTCAATGGGATCAGGCTTGGGTGTTCAATTACTTCTCACACCTAAAACAAGAAATGTCCTAATTCCCAATAACCCAATCAATCCTTTCTCTGGCTGGAAATTTCCCTGAAGTATGCTCAGTGTTTAGGGAGGTGATTCACACTTTTTGGTCAGAAACTCATTTATTAAAAACCAAGTGTTCTCCTATTAGTACATGTTATTCCTTGCCATTGCATTCTTCCTCCCTCTTGGCCTCAGCTGCAAGAGACAGTCTAGAAACTTCAGCCAGGTCCCCAGGAGCCCAGACTGATCTCCAGTTGGTGGCTGTGAACTTGCACAGAGACTTCCTTTAAGAAGTGTGGTCTTCAAATCCACAGTCCACGGATTAAACTGACATTTAATGGTAAACAACTGCTATATTGTTTATTTGAGCCAGTTCCACGAAACAAAATAAAACTCCCTTATAAATGGAATATACACTTAAGGGAAAATCCTTTTTACATTTGTCCCTATAATATTTTATACTCATTCAATTACAAAATGCCAAGAGGACTTTTAAAAGGCTTTAATGTTTGTCCTTTGTCTTCTAAGTCAGAGAGTGAAAAAAATGAATTCATTACTGCTTTGAATCCTTAAGGCTAGATATTTCACTCTTTTGCCTCAGAAGAGAAAATGAGGTCTTTAAATGACCCGAATACGAACAACTCACATTCAAGGTGCTGGCTCCATAGTCTGTATTTATATTTTATGACATTTGACCCAACTTTAAAGCCTACCTCCTTCTCTCTCCTTCTCATCCTCTTCTTCTTTCAGCAGCTTGCCAACGGAATTATACCACTTGAACTGTGGATCAGGGATGCCATTAACACTACAATTAATCAAGGCACTGTTCCCTTCCTTGACTATGATATGGTCAGTTCTGGCAATGATTACGGGCATAAAGCCCAAGACCATGTCAGTGCCATTTAAAGTGCTGTTAGTCATACTCTTTGCAGTCGCTAGAGTGGATACTAGGATTAAAAAGGGCACAGAAGGTAGAAAGCACACAGGCAGATGGCTCTTCAATCGATCCATCTTCTTTGTTTGCTCTGTAAGGCAACAGAGATGGTTTGCCAATGGAATCTTCTATCAGACAGCACGCTGTTCAGAGCAGGCCATGGGACAAACCTGACTTGGATCCATAAAGCTGGTTCTTGATTAAGAACCTGTTAAAACAAACAAACCACACACATAAATATTAGCATTCATACTTTAAAAATATTATTTATAAAATGTTAGAAACCCAGCTAAAATACCTACAAAATGTTTAAACAATACACAAATTCAGATGTTCCAAATGTTGTTACATTTTTTTCACAGGAATCGTAACAAATATCTTTTTTACTACTGAAATATGTAGGTATTAATAGGAACAAACATATATATTTCTTATAAATGTATCACATTACTTCAGAAAGTTCAAAAACTGATTCAGGCTTCTTTCGTTTAGCATGACAAGGCCTCTTTCCACCCCATCACCTGTCTTCATTGTGGATGACCTGACTGTTCACCTCGGTGGTTCCTTAACCAATTTTCTTCCAGTGAACACAGCCCTGCCAGCATGGGGAAGGGCTCCACCAGAATCAGTCTGGCATTCTCCTAAGTCCCCATTATGGCTTCCAGGATACTCCTTCCCTTTCATGCAATTGCCCATGTTCCTTTGAGCTTTATGGCATCCAACTCTGTTTCATATTTTTGTTATCTATTGACTCATGATCACTCACTGAATTCCCTAGTTTCTTCATCTGCCTCCCAGAGGCTGGTGAACATCAGTATGTATGTTGTGACATGATGGGTGGCAGTACTTCCATGATCAAAGATCTAACTTTCACCTACATCTCTATCCTCCGTTTGACCCACTAATCATACAGCCACACTCTAGAATTTTCATCTGTCCAAATTCTAAATTCTGAAGTTCCAAGTAATTCTGAAGTTTTAAATAACTATCTTGAACTGCACCCTACCATTCCTCCAGATCTCTTATTCCTCTTACTGGACTTTCTAGCCCTTCTATTTTCTCTCAGTCTCTATCTTCTTTCCTCCCCCTTTCATGTTCCAATTCTGTCTCAGTCTAGACCCAATCATGTAGACCACAATCCCAAACATCTTTACTCTTTGTTCTCTGTTGCCATGACTCTGCCAGCATATACTGGAGAGAATCATACAACCACATTATTGCCAAATTAAGGAACTATTTCCAACCCCAGCCAGGTCTCTGGTGATTTCTGGCATTCTGGTTATCAGGGCTTTGTAGGTTCAGTAGCTGCTTTTCACAATGCTATGGACATCTTCAGCTTTCAAATCAAGCATCTTAGCCCAGTGTTATTCCTACTGTTCTCAAAAGGCACCTTTCTCATACTAAGAATTGTAGGCATGAATTCCCACTTTCTTTTCCAAAAAAATCCTGCATTTTGCCCTCCCCTGCCAATTACTTTAAATACCCAATTCTGTATTTTGCCTGCACTTTATTGAAACAGCTCTTGCTGAAGTCACCAGTCACTCCTCATTGCCAAGTTTTCAGTCTTTCTCTTGCCAAATCTCTGTGGTGATCACCACTATTAACTCTTTTTTATTCAAACTCTCTCTATGGCTGCTGCACTCTACTCCCCCTGCCTGCTCTCACTATTCTGTACCAGTTCCTCTTTTCCTCATCCTTGAAAATTAGTTAACCCCCAGTGTTTCATCACTGGCTCTCTTTTCATTTTACCCACATCTCTTCCTAAGGTTCCATTCTCATGCCTTTATTATCACCTCCAACCTAACAGCTCTCAAATCCATGTTCTCAGACCTGACTTTTTTCTAGGTTTCAGACTGGTGTTACTAATTGCCCATTGGACATCCCTGCCAGAATGTTCTGAAGGTAACTCAAAATTAACATTCCCAAACAAACTCATCCGATGAACATGCTACATTGCCTGGTTCCTTATTTCAGCTTAGGCGGCACCATCCACACATGCATGCATGGGTATTAGTCCTGAATTCAACTGTTGCCCTCAATACCCTCAGAACGTCAGTAATTACATGCTGTTGATTCCACCCCTTAAATGTTGCTTGGATTGTTCCATCCTTTCAGTCTCCTCTGAGAGAGCCTTAGTTCAGGCCTCCTTATCTTCTTACCAGAAATGGTGTGGTAGCCTTCTACAGGATCTGCCTTCCATCTCTCCCCAGCTCCCAATCCAATCCTATAACCATTCTACAGCACAAATTATATGGTGCCATTTCTTTACTTAGCAACCTTCAATGTCTTTGCACTGTCTGCATTATAGAACCTGAATTCCTTACCCTTTTTATTCACTCAAAAAATAATTATTGAACACCCACTATTAGGCAGACACTATTTTAGTCCTATAAATAGAAGAGTAGAGAAGACAGACCTTTCCTATTATGTGGAGATTATATTCTCGTGTGTGTGGGGGGGAAGCAAACAATAAATAAATGCCATGTGAATATAATTTCAACTAATGATGCATGCTTTGAAAAACACACCATGATGCACTTGAGTGATGAGTTAGGCAATTCAGGAGAACTGTACTGAGGAGGTAGCCCCTGAGCTGGGGTGCTTTAGGAATCAGCCACACCTAGACCTGGGAGAAGAGCATTCCAGGAAGAAGGAACATAAAAAGCAAACAAGTGACAAGATGGGTCATGGAAGTAGACAAGCTCAGTCCACCTAGGGCTTTGCAGGACAGAGTGAAGAGTTTGGATTTTACCTGACATTCATTGGGATCTTCCAATGAATATGACTCCAAAGAATGTGATTTATTTTTGAAAATCAACTTTACTGTGGTGTAACTTATAAACAATAAGTATATACCCATTTTGGGTGTGCATTTTAATGGGTTTTGACAAATTTATACACCAATGTAACTACTATAATAAAATGGAGGACGTTTCAATAACTACCCAAAATTATCCTGTATCCCTTCCCAGTTGTAGTTTTTACACTGATCCATTCTAATTATTATTATTATTTTAATATATTTTTTATTGATTTCAAAGAGAGGAAGAGAGAGGGAGCTAGAAACGTCAATGAGAGAGAACCATTGATTGGCTGCTTCCTGCATGCTCCCTACTGGGGATCAAGCCCACAACTGGGGCATGTGCCCTGACTGTGAATCGAACTGTGACCTCCTGGGTTCATGGCTTGATGCTCAACTTGAGCCACACCAGCCAGACTATTCCAGTTATTTTTGTGTATGGCATGAGGTATGGATTGAGGTTCATTCCCCCTCCCACTCTCAAATGAACATCCAGTTGTTTCAGCTCTGTTAGTAAAAAGACTATCTTTCTTTTCTTTTTTTTTTCTTTTTTGGTTAATCCTCACCCAAGGATATTTTCCCATTGATTTTTAGAGCAAGTGGAAGACAGAGGAAATGATAGAGAGAAATATCTATGTGAGAGAAACACATGGATTGGTTGCCTCCTGCACGCGCCCTAACCAGGGCCTGGGCCGGGGAGGAGCCTGCAACCGAGGTATGTGCCCTGGACCGGAATCGAACCAGGACCCTTCGGTCTGCAGGACAACGCTCTATCCACTGAGCCAAACCGGCTAGGGCAAAAAGACTATCCTTTCTACAATGGATTATGTTGCCTTCTTGTAAAAAAAAGAGAAGAGTCTATTTATAAATTCTTTATTCTGTTCCACTAATATTTATGTTTATCCTTATGCCAATACCGCACTGACCATACTATCTGCCTCATTTTTTTTTGGTATCTGCAGTGTCTGAAGTTGTCCTTGACACTTTCAATGCTCAATGAATTGCTGAATGAATGAATCTCTCTCCAAAGGCAGAAATTATTATTCTAATCCTGTAGACAATAAAAGTGAAGCGGTACTAGGGGTGAGGGTGATAAATTAGCTTTAGACCATAGATTAGTTCATTGAGAAAGAGGAGTTTTCTTAGCGCTCTAGACATCCACACTCCCGCCTAGACTAGGGTGCCTTCCTGCCCCAGGAAGGCCAGCACATTACTCCACCCACAGGAATCGTGTGGCTGAGGGAGATAGCACAGGCACCAGGCATGCCAGATACCCTGCTATGACTGTGTAAATGTTTTCCTTTACTTGGCCAAATGCAGGGTTTCCTTTGAACAGGGAGTTTGTAAATGTGAACTATTCGATACAGAATGGTTGTGAAGAGCATGGCCTCAGGTTTTAGATAGACTGGGCCAGGATCCTGGATCTAGCCACCTTTATCGGCTGTGTTTTTCTGGCCAAGTCCTTACCAAGTCCAGGGCAATTATAATGATTCAGGGCCAAATGGCCACAAAGCCTTTACATATTGCTCGGCTTGATAAACAGGAATTATCAACATAATGTACCAAGCATCCTTTATTGAAATCATGCTTCTCAAGTTGATTTTTATTTTATCCTTCAAATTGTATCACTTAAAAGACAGACCTTATTTTTGGTTTTGTTTAAGACATTATTGATTGCCATTCTACCACCAGAAAGAATTATAAGTGATTTTCAGCACTGGGTCCTTGTGCAGGACTCAAGTGTGAAAATGTATGAGTTGCCCCGTTGGGCAGACGCTGCAGTGAGCATATTACGGGTACTGTAGCTGGGGTCACTCATCTGGGACTCCCCGATGCGTAGGTCAGAGCAGATGCCCAACTAAATACCTTGGGAGGGAATGAGAGACAAGACAAAGTGGAGGATAGGTTCTAATAAATGTGCAGTAAGTATACTGCAGCATTTTCCCCACCCCCACAATTAAAGAGAATGTACCACATGGAAAGATCAAACTGATTAAAATGCATAACTCAAGAGCGGTTTTCAAACAAAGGCCAACCACCTTGGGTTATACTTTCAAACACATTGTGCTAGCAAGAAGAAAGAGAAGGGGATACTGCTTGCTGTTCTAGTTTATTTTAATAATGTCGGTAGGAGCTTTGGGCTAGAAACAAAGTAACCCTTTCTGAAGCTGCATCTAGTTCCCTCAGAGACCTTGAGATGTACCGAGAAAGATTGTCACTCGAATGCAAGAATTTCGGTTAGCAAACTCATTCCTCCCTCCCCCGATTCTCTCTCCTCCTTTTTCATTTTGAAAAGTTACTAAGATACAGAAAACATAATGTGTAATTTATAGGTTGTTTGTATCAAAGCATGTTTATCCTAAACCTCTCTGTGAACATTTATTTTTGAAAATCAAGCATTAAATTAA